TTTTTTTAGATGTCACCAAGTACTGATGTCATTTTAATTTGACCTCTTGGAGTTATGATGATGATGATACTGGACATTTTTGGCTGGTGATTTCTCACTTTGTAAACTTGACCTCCTGACCTAAAGCTGTAATGGAACTAGGAGAGAATGACATATGTAACATACTGAGAGTTTCTGGCTTATCATATCCTAAAAGAATCTGTAGATACGTTCAGCTGCTCTGTACTGTTTGTTTCGACTGGAAAAAGAAAGAAAAAAATGCAGGCAACATAAGTGTACTAACCGGTGTTCTGTGTGGGTAGTCTTCAGGCACTAGCCGTTATCTGTAACAACGTGTTTACAGTGGTAACAGATAGGCCGTCGTGTTCGCTGCACATCCTTGACATACAGGGTAGCCCTCGTCTGTTGAGTGATGGTGGTGTTTTATCTGTGAGGTGACGAGAATGTGGCCTTGTCTGACGTGGCTATAAAGGGGCAGAAGCAGCCAGCTCTTCTTCAGATTCCACTTCTTACTCGTCGTGCACACATTTCACGTGTAGTCACTCATTCATCTGTTAAGAAAAGTTTTAAAATGTTGCCTGCAACGTTCAAACTGTGTGCTGGCATTTCCTACAGGCACATGAGAAACATGACAGGTAAGGTGCTGTTTCAGGAATCCAGTTTTCTGAAATATTTCTAATTAGTATGCCACTATTTATTGAGGTTTATGTGTATATATTTCTATTTTTTTCCAATTACAATCAGGTCTGAGAAAGAATGCAATGATTGCAATCCATCATGAGCTGAGCAAGATTTCCGGACCTGGACCTAGTGCCTGGATCAACCACATCCGGAGAAGGAGCTCCCTACTCAGTAAGAGACCTTTTACACCACTTGAACGGAAGAGAGACACTTTTGACTTCAACTCTGTGTCATAGCTATTTATTTATTGTATACAGTATACCATTTAAGCTGTATTACTGGAGCAATAGTGCTGTTGGTTTAAATATTAGAGAATGTGGTATTGCTTTTTTACAACAGATCTATAAAGAGTAAGATAATGTTGAGTAGACACAGCATTGACAACTGTTTATCTATTTTTACTTCACCTTTGAAAATAGTTATAAACAAAGCCACAGCAGAATTGTGCGTCTCTGAGGAACACTGTAGTGGTCTTTCATTCCTGAACGAATCAGTGTTTTTGAACGAATTGGTTGTGTGAATGTTTCAGTTACACACTCATA